GGGGAGGAGAGAGCTTTTTATCCTACACTGATACAGAGAAATGTATGGATATTTGCTCTCAGCTATCTAATCTGGAATTGAACTGCATTTCAAATGTGATTGGGACAGTCCATACGAAGAGAAGGCAAAGGTAACAGCAGCCTCAGTCACTGGATGTTAATGTTTAACCTTAATGCTCCTTGAGTGACGATCAGGCAAAAGGAGAAAGAGAAGGTCTAAGAAAACAAGCAGGGTAGAGATGCTGAAGATGGAGTCTGCTATACAGAGGGAAGCAGACGAGCTTCACAGTTCCTGCTGCTCTTGCTGAGGGTAATCTGGCACTTACATCCAAGCCTTTGTCTTCCATAATCCAGTTGACAAGCAGATTTTCTAAAACAAAGCAAAATTTGTCTTGCTAGCTTTAACTCTGCAATGGTTGCACTTCTCCCTTTATTTTTTTTCTCTATACATATATCTGATTTTTAAGTCTCATGAGACAATGGAGATCAAAAGCTGCTGTGACCTATAAGCTCAGTTTGTACCAAAGGAGTCAACAGGTACAGCCTAAAGACATTGCACTGAAAGGAAAAAGAAAAGAGAGAGTAAGACTCTCTGGCAGGAATCCATACATTTAGATTTGAATTTATGTTTTACTGAAGTAATTTTGTTGCTGATGCTTTTCAGTGAGTCTCTGCATGACTGTACTTAGAAAATACACTGTTGGCAATGTTTCTCTTTTACACTTACATAGCATCTATACAATAGAGCGCTTATATAGGCAGCATCAAGGATTCAGGATGCTATTTTAATAAATGGCCCCAGTTTCACTTGTTCATATCTTCCCATCAAATGACTCAGCTGACATCCGGTTCAAATATTAAACCCTAGCAACAAAAGCCACAGTTAGAGGCTGTGCTATCTTGGTATATATAGCCTGTACAGATGACAAGGCCTTTAGCAGTGTTGGGAAGATTGTCTTCTAAATGCTGCATCCTGCGTGACCAGCTCTAAAATGGAGGGCAGGGAGGAGGAATTACATTTGAGCACTTAGTACTTAAAAGTACACCAGACTCAACAGGTTAGCAATATTCATGCTACAGAGAAAAGCTGTGTTGCTTGCTTGCAGTTTTGTCTGTATACATATTTTGAGTTGTGTTTCAGTCTTGGATTATATGTTTTTTGAGAGCAGCATTGTAATTTTGATCTACGACTGTAGAGTACGTAGGAAAACAGAGGCCTGGTTGATCCTCATTATAGCTCCTAGCTGCTACTTCAATATTGGTAAAATAGCACTGAAAAGAAATAGAATAACAAAGTCAGGGATTTTTAGGATACAAGAGAAAGAATACCATTTTTGAATTTTTCTGATTTTCTAGATTTTATTGAATCTCTTTACTATCTTATTAAAATTCTTATAGCACAAAGTGTATAAAATGCTCCTTGAGACAGCAAGAATTTGTCTTTTTGGCGTTCTATATATTTACAGTTGCATCTCAGATTGATAGGAGGTGCAAGTGCTGAGAACATCTGTAAAATAATGTGATAAAACATCAAAAAGACTTTCTGCTTCCAAAATATTTCAGAAATTCTTTTAGCAAAACACTTATAAAACATGATTAATTTAATGTTAAAAAAAAAAAAAAAAGATAAGTAAAATGAGAAGTAAAAATGCTCAAAATGAAAAGTCGGTCATTCCATAATAATGCAGTGGGTTGGTGGGTTGGTGCTGGAATAGTTGATAATTTACAGATCTCTTAAAATATTCAAACTTTTCTCTAAAGAACATTAGTTGTGTTTATTTTTGGAAGTACCTTTGTAATGGCTGCACTTAACAAATCAGCAGAGGGCATCTTGGCTCTGTTTGTTCCGTCCCTTTAGCTACTAGGAGGACCCATAATAATGCAAGTGCTGCACTGGTGAAACTTCTGGTTGCTTTGAAACTCCAGAACTATGAACGTAGATTCATTTCTGTGAACTTGAAGCAAAATTCAATCATTTTTCCTAATTTGTTCTTCTAAGTAATCCCCAAGGAGTAACGCATGTGCTATGTGGCTGCTTTTTTATTTTGTTTGACAGTTGTGTTGCCTATAATTACTGTAGGTAATCAATTGCTGTTGTTAAGAAGAATAATGCTGTGTAGGTTAGTTTATTATCTCATGGTAACTTGTGGACTAAATATTCAGAAGTTCTGTTGGGTAGGGCTCCTATGTCCTAAATGGCAAACTTCTCAGTAGCCAAAAATTGCTAAAGGAAAAAAGTTTTTTTCTGTGCAATACCAATATGAATAGCCACAGAATTCACTTGTTGAAAAGAACACATTTTACACAATTAAGCATGTTTGTCTTGACCCCTAGTGTATGAAATAGTCAACAAACCCAGTAAATTTTATTTTGTGATTTTACATGTTGAATTCTGTATTCACGTCAAGAAAACACTCCTTACCTTTCCAAATGATAGTATGTATTTTTCTTTACAGAGAAACAAACAACACATAAAATTAATGTTCTATAAAATTATAAACCTTTGAGTCTGTAAAGAATAAAGGAGTCTAAAATGTGTAGTTGCAAACATCCATATTTTATTTATTTGACCAAAGATTCCTCTGTGGCTCTTAAAATTTCATGTCAAGCATATTTGTACTTGTCAGTTGTGCTTGCTCCCTGGCAGCCTTCTTGATGCTTAACCTATTACGTCATCTATAAAAGATATTCCCTACTTGATGTTGCATTTCACAAATCATACAAAATATTAGCTTTCCACTATAAAACAGGTGTTATGTTGTTTGTTCCACATGTTCTGGGGCAAATCATGAGCTGACATAAACAATTATAGATTTAGCAAAACCAAAAGACTTTTTTTGCCTTTCTCACTTAAAAATACTCATTATAAACAGAGATCTGTTTTACCTAGCAGGAACTAGTGTCATGTATACTGATGTGTATGTTTGCTTTTACAAACAAATAATGGAAAATGTTTTCTGAAGAATTTCCTTTTTTAAAATCAGCTATTTTTTTTTCTGTGCAGAACTAAGGTTGTTTTCTGTCAAACATCTCAGAAGCATATTTGGATACTTAAAAAGTCAAGGTACATCAAAAGGCCAAGATTTTAATTGGGAGCTTTATCCTGAACCTCTTATCTGGGAGAAAATTCAGAGCAGAGCAGTCCTTGTTCATCTTGCCGGTTCGCAGGAGACTTGCTGCTGTGACTACTGAATTCAGTGGCTGCTGCATGTGCATCACTGCTTCTGGCAGGCATTTAGGACTTGTACGGTTTTGTGGGCACTACACAGAGGGGAAGAGACCAAGTGACTTGATCCTGTAAGGACTTGAGTTTTATTTCAGAAACATCAGGGCTGAACACTAAAAAAAGCTGAAAACTGATTCCTCTAAGGGGACCAAATTTCATATATAATGTTAAAACCCTGTACCTTTTCCTCTAAATATCTGGGTATCAAGGTGGGTATAAAGGATTTTTATCTTCATCAAGTTTGCTCTGTGTATAGCAGGATCAACCACTGTACAGTAAGAATGAATATCACATATTTAAATGGCTGATCCCTGGGCTAGTAAAACCTTAAAATCACTAGTTGATTGAACTAATTGTTTTTGTTTGTTTTTGTTTTTTGTTTTGTTTTGGAGAAGGTGTTCATAAAAACAGTATCATTTTATAGCCTTACATCAAAGGAAATTGTGTTCTTCCATTCTTTGTTATTTTGGGGATGGTGCTTTGTGTGGAACTGTAGAAGGAAGATATATTGTGGACACCTTTCAGTTACAGTGATTTCAGTAATGATCAAATGTTTTTAAGTGGCACTGAGGACCTTGAAGGACTGCAGCCAATATACAGTTCCCAGTAGGTCAGTCCTAAGGATCGAACCTAGTGTGTAAGTGTGATTAACCTTTGCTGTCATCAAGATATTTAATGACAGTTCAAAATTCATTTGCATGGGGTTTAGCTTTAGACGAACAGGCTGGGTCACAATTATGTAAGTTATTTTTATTTATGCCTAGTTTTACTATGTTTGTATTTTATCTAATTTGTTCCAACTGTAAATGTTTCAAATAATGAAAGAGGTACTATCCATGAAATATTTTTACTGTGTTGGCTTCAAACTGGCAATTATTAGAAATGAGCCACTTTGTCCTCATTTGGCTTTGAAATGCTGTAATTTGGAAAGAAAGCTCTGCATCCAATGTCTGCATAAAACGTGGCCTCAAGTACACTTTCAGTAAAAGCGTCACCAGCTTAAAGATACACTTATTCTAGACCACAGAAAATTGACCATTGAAAATGTAACGTACCCTATTTACTTACTATAAAATTCTGTTTTAAAGTTACCATTGAGATCACGTTACTTCAACTTGGTTTCTAAGGAAACTAAAGGCTACACACTGATAACCATAATACAACAGCAAAAAATAATAATAATTAAAAAAAAAATAAAAGTATCTCTCGTTAGTGGGCTTATAAAGAGAGCAGTTTCAAAATAATATTTTATTATAACTCAAAAATACATCAAGGTTATTCTGTTCACATTTTGCCATACAAAAACTGAACATAAACTGTTTTAAAAAAGTATATAATCTCCACAGACTTTTTCTGTTACACAATTATTTTCAGTAGATAATCTTTTTACACTGGGGAAGGATTCTTTAGCTGGAGAACAATCATAAAGGATCATTTTGTTTGTGTACCAGATATAGCCTGGATCTGTTCATCTTTGAAAACTTCCCATCCTTAATTGCTTATACAAAATGATTCATGATTCAAATTGGTATTCAGAAGTTATTATGTGCATTAGTTCGTATTCTTTCCTTTGTACAAAAAGTTAGATTTACACGTAGTGCTACAGTGCATTTTATTTTGTCTTGAAATCAAGATTGCAAAGTACTCCAAAGTACATTCATGTTGTGTGCTGATTTCAAACTATTATCATCCTGAGGATGGGGTGTTTTGTGGAAAGAGGGTTCTACCCCAGATCATTGGTTTGGTTAAATACAATAAAAGGACAAAAGACAAAGTAAATTTTAAGGAGTTTTATTGGTATTTTTTCCCAAGCATTAATACTTGGAAAACAGCATATGAAAATCTGTGGGGCAAAGTTATTACGTGGGTTTTTTCATTTTTAATGGAAAAAAATGGAGAAAAGTATAAAAAAATAAAGGTTTTCTCCTTGAAAAGGGGGTTTTTCTGATACTGTCAAAATAAACTTTTCATTAGAAGATGAAAATGTCATTTTCCTCAATCAGCTCTGTTTGGATTGAAGTCTGAAATTTCAATTTTGTCAAGAAGGAATTTTTTTGTAAGGAGGAGAAAACATTTCACCTGACAATAATGTATAATATATGCAGGATATATATAGGTACACATGCAGGAATACAGAGCCAGCATCTCTGCTGGTGTAAAACATCTAAGTGCCTCTGAAGTCACTATTTACCTAGCTAACATCAGCTGTGAATCTCACCTAAGACAGAACTTTTTGCTGATATTTATCTCTCTGTGGATGCAAGAGAACATTCCTGAACTACATAATTTCGATACAAAAGGCATAAATATAGAGGTATAGGGAAGTTTAGAGCTGAACGCCAGAACATCAGTGGCAAGAAACAGAGGTATGTCTGTAACATTACTTAATAATGTGTTCTTTAAAAACTACTGAAGGAATTGTCAAGCTTGTCTGTGAGGAGGCTACTAAAGTTCTTTCCAGGTCTTCAGAAAAATTGTATTTGCAATGTAATTCCTTAAGACTACTTAAGACTAAGACCACTTAAAATGCTAAATGAGTTTTTCAAGTCTTGAGTGCTCTTTTCATGGTAGAGCCTTCAACATGCTGGTCATTGACCAACGTGGCATTTCTATTTGAGTGAGCAGTTCCAGAGATGCGTTTTCTAGGTGGTACTCATTTTATTTCTAGAGCTGTTAACAAATACATATATAAAAGATGCTTTTACAGCACAGTAATAGTAAACGCATTATTTTCAGGCAAGCACATCAAATTCAACTATGCCGATGACTCTGAACTTCCAGGTTAATAATGATGTTTATTGGTACCCAAATTTGTAAAGCTATACCTAAATATGTTTTAGTATCCAACTGCACAGTTCTATATAGCAGCTTTTCAGAATTATACTGAACAAGGCTATTTAGCAGTACTACACAAGAAATGTAGTGAACAATATTTCAGAACCTAACTTGATTCATTTTAATTTTCTAGTTACATTGGAGAATATACCCTTTTGCCAAGCGCAACTTACACTTCTATATTTTACTTTCTTTGACCTCTTTTGGGCTTTTTACAGTTGTTTTTAAAACTTCTATGAAAGTAAAATGTACCCTTCTGTAAGGATTGCTGAATTTCAAGATGATGACAAGTCTCATCTGACAGGGAGCAGCTACTCTTGCTTTCTCTGGACTGTTTCAAGTGATGGAATCTTATAATTGGTCTTAAAGGACTTTCACTATGATATATATATGTTCGTTTAAATGGGAAAAAATATGTTTGTGAATATGTAACTTCAGGTGGATGGAGTTGAACTGAGTGTATGTAAAATTTGGATAGCTCCCCCACTAAACTACCAGAAAATATATTTATCAATGCCTGATTTTTTATGCTGACCTTTATAAAGTACCACACTTCTATTAAACATTTGGTTCCAGAGACGAAAGTAATTGTCGTTAAGGAAGTCCTTGCTACAACGTTCAAAGGTATATGTACTCTTTTTAGTTATTCCACTATAAATTCAGAGCAAAGACACTGACTCCGCTGTTTTTTAATGGAAAATCTGTGTGCTTCATCAAAGATCAGAATCAGACCTCAAGATTTTTTTCCCTACTGACCTATATTCTTCATCTTTTCTAAGTCACAGAACCAGCTGTACTGTGTTGTGAAGCTCAAAAGTAGCAGCAATTCTCCTTCAAGTATTTAGTTTGGTTATCTGGGTTAGAAGTAGAGATACTTCAGGCAAGAGAGTATGATGCCTCTACAGAGCATTTAGATTTTTAATCTTTGAAAAACTTCTGCTACACATTGCTTTGATATAGGATGTAATTATGGGAATGACGAAACTCAACGTTAAGCACATTTTTTGTTCTGCTTTTGTGTGGAAAGGCAAACTGAAGACCAAATTGGTCTGGTGGAGGACTTCTGAATCCTCTTGTGTTGTTCTCTCAAATTTGAAACATCAATCCCTCTCCTTGCAAGGTGCCCAAGGCAGGTGGTCATCCTTCCTGTCTGAATGGTGAAGGGCTTTCTCCAGGCTGGCGAGAATGTTGTTCCATAGGACCATCCAGTCAAGGAGGACACGTGAAGAGACTTTCCACCATCTTCTCCTAAGACAAAGCTTAGCAAGTAACTACAACAGAACTCAAGTTTGGTCAATTTAAGAATTCAGCTGAGAGGCTTCTACTGTACCGAGCAGACCGGAACTTGAGCTCATGGTAACACTGCACGAAGCTATGATAAATGAAGGTGATTGGCAAGGCTAGTAAAACGATGCCACTAACCACGCAAATTCCTCCGAGAATCCTTCCTGGTACAGTGATGGGACACATGTCACCATAACCAACCGTGGTCATAGAGATGATCACCCACCAACAAGCAGCAGGGATGCTGGCATAATCCTTATTCTTTGTTCCCAAGTCCAGCCCATTTTCAAGAAGCTGGGAAAGTGCACTGAAAATTGCCATAGCAACACAGATAAAGACAAGGAGCATCACCATCTCTCTGTAACAACGCTTCAGAGTCAGACCAAGTGTTTGAAGGCCAATGAAATGACGAGCCAGTTTAATCACCCAAAAAATCCTCATCATTCTTAAGACCCTCAAGGTGACTCCAGCCCTCTGAAGCTGTGAGTTTTCCCCTGTAAAAACTGTCATTAGAACAGAGATGTAGTAAGGAGTAATTGCCAGTAAATCAATGATGTTGAGAGGTCTTCTGACAAACTCACACTTGTTTTTTGAAACGATGAACCTCACAATGCACTCTGCAGTGAACCAGCCTATGCAGATAGCTTCAATTATCCTGTCAAAAGAAACAAAATACAGTATTTATGTTCTGAGGAAAGGCTTTAGTGCTGGTTTGTTTTTTCATGGACATTACCAAATTGACATTCAGACCTTCACAAGCAACAAACAGAAAGCCACACTATTCTTATTCAGAGCATGTAACACCAAATTTCAGCAACTAACCTTAGGATCTAGTGCAGAGTTTAAACTGATCTGTGGTAAGAACCCCATCACTGATCACTTTCTATGAATTACAGATTCTAGTCCTAATACTGGACACATAGGCCTACAAAATCTGGAACCCTGCAGGAAATGATGGAGTGCCAGTGCATAACATAATCTAGAATACTTTGTTTGTTTTTGTTTAAAATCTGTAAGAACTGATACACTTACAAATGCCAATGACTGTGGATCAGTGAACTGGCAATGTGTTGAACCAGACTGCTAAACTGAAATGAAAGTGAAGATGGAGTAGGAGGAAATCAGCTTTTGCATCAGATAATTCATGCAAATTGGCTGTTCAAGAACCAGCCGAAACCAGTCTTATTTGCATCCTAAACAGAGGCTAACCAAGAACTGTATTCAAAACTTTATAATATCAACACTAAATACAGGTGATATTTTATTCTTCACAGTTGGGTACACATAGTACCAAAGTAATAAGCTTGTGTCCTTCCATTTACTGCTAGGCTTGGCATTATGGAAGTTTTTCTTTTAAATGTAACTCCCTGTAAACTGTGTCACAGTGAAATGTCAAGGTAAGCAAAGCAATAGGCGAGATCATCTTCTTGCCAAATACAAATAGCAGCCCTGATTAAAGAAAGCATTGCTGTCCTGGAGGGTGATTTCATTACGTTTCTGAATGTTTTAAAATCCCAGTGCAGCACGTGAGACTTGAGAGAACATTCTCAGCCTCAAACCACTAGAAGGTAGAAATGGGTATCAAAATAACCCTTTTCTTAAGACTTCAAACTACACTCACTTATTTAATGTGGGAGGGAATGGGAGCTAATACTTCCCTATTTCCTTTGTTTGCTTATCTTTTTTCAACAACTTTTTGTGTAAAGAAAAAGCGTTTATCAGTGCCACCTCTACCAACAGGTCTGAAAGGAAAGTGAGATGAAATTGGAGACTGAAAATGCTAGATGAAACCAGAGAGTTTTCTTTCTACTGCAGGGATCCTAACAAGGTACTGCCTACAGAAACAGTAGTGATTTGCAAGTAATAATCTGTCATTTGAAACATAAAATTTTGTTTCCCTAACAAGTTTTCTTTTTTTGTTACCATTTCTGAAATCTGTTATTATTAAGACAGTGGCCTGCTAGAAGAACAAAGTCTTCTGTAACTCCTGTAATTATACTACTAGACTCTATAAACCAACTCTCATAAAAGTGTCATACACTAAAATTTTATTTATTAATTTCATTTTATTCATTCATTCACTTTAGTTTTATGTGAAATAGTAGAGGCAACAGTAATAGTCAGTTGACATAAAGTTGTAAGTTATGTCATAATTCCAGCCACAGAAAATTTAAATGAACACGAATTAACTACTCAGGGAAGTAGTTACATAAAATCAGACCTTGCTATGACCTTGTTATTCATGTTTCACGAATAAAAATGAAAGTCCTGTAGCAAGAGGCCTTTCTTAATAAAGGGCTTATAAAATACTTGTTCATGTTTGCAACTTCTGTTGTAAAGACCTCTGAATTTTAAAAATAGCTTCTTCTGAAGAATTAAATGTTGTCTTAAAAACTAAGCTTTTGAAGGTGTTCGTGTTTCTGTTAATAACGGCAGTGGTAACTGTCATGCCAATTTGTTTGGTAGAAGAAAATTCAGGTCATAATGTCACCTAAACAAATCTTGTACTGAATTTATGCAAGTGTTTGTATGAATGGATTATTATTCTTTCATGTTGAAAAATCAAGAAAAAAAGTTAATGGGTGAATTCACTTCAACCATTTTAATATACATAATGAGGAAATATATAAGAGTTTCTGTAGTAAAAGTAGCCAGACAGCAAGATCATGTTAATGGACACACTGATAAAAGCTGGATGTCCTTAAAGTTGGCTATTTAAGAACTCATAATTGTTAAAAGAAAAAAATGCTTCTGGAAATAAATTTGCAGCCAGGAATATTCTACAATTCTGACAAACTCCATTACCATCTTACAAGATTTGTTTGGTAGTTATGCCTATGTCTAGGATGTTGAACATTTACATGAAAAAGCAATTCTTAATTTTACAATTTAAAGCTGTTTCAATTGGTATTTCCTGATGCCCCTATAACATTGAAGGTGTAATTCCTTGATTTTATCACAAATTAGGCAGGTTAGTCAAGCTTTGAGGAAGCTTGGTCCTAATAGTTGTGATATCTTAGAAGTCATCTTTATGAATCAGTATTGATTCAGAGGTCTGGTATAACTTTGGGGAGTAGTTGTGCAAGTAAAAATCCATGTTAGATGAAATGTGATCAATCTGTTGTTTTACTCTGTCAGTCCTTAGCACAAGAGATACTGTAAATCAATTATACTTCAATAGGGAGGACTGGAGAGTCTTTTATTGTAGAACAGACTACAAGACAACCAAGAAATATTACTTGATGCAAAAATGACAAAGCAAGATCAAGATAGTGGAGATGCATTGCTGCCACTTGACAACATATTGCACTTCAATGTCTCTGTTTTTTTTATCTATCGTTCTCAGCAATTACAGACATCCTGGCTAGGGAGAAGATAAAGAAGGGTCTTTCCCTACTATTTAGCCACCAGTGAAACGTGTTGTTCCTCCTCTTGTGTCACTTTTTTTTGCTTTTGTAGATGGGTTTCAGCAGTCCTGATGTATCACCTAAGTGCATAAGTGATTAGGTGAGCACAACTAGGAACCTCTGGCCTGTTGTGAAAGCTAGAGTGCTACATACTACATTTCTACTTTCAGATTAAGTTTCCCTCTCCCTTACAGTGACTTATCTTTGTAACTAAGTTATATCCTTGTGAATGGAGAAATAACATTTAATAAGAAAACCAAAATTAAGTCCTTAACTTCATACTAAATTGTTTTTTTTAAAGCCAACTAAAATGCGTTCACTTGGAAGACTAAAGTAACTGTATCTTCTGTAAACAATTCCTAAAATATTTGCTGCATATTCACATGACAGACTGCCTGTTCATGAAATAATATGCTCTTTAAGCATCTGTAGCTATATACTTAAATCATGAGCTTTATTTGGTAAAATGTAGTACCTATTCTGGTTTGTTGTGCTTTTATCTGTTCAGTTTTAAAATAGCTGGTATTCAAGAAGGAGATGGGAAATTAAAAACAAGTCTATTAAGTGTTTCCTTAAGATTCCCCACAAAATTGGAATAATTGGAGAATATTAATTCCTAATTTTTAATAAGTTATGGGTTATTTCTGCTCAAACTTACTGTCCATTGGCCCAGACATAAGTACATGAGTGTGTGTTTTTTTTTTTTTTCTCCTGAAGTTGTAAGCCTCTTGGTACTTAACAGGTTTTCAAGATTGCTTTAATGAGTGTGTTGTCCATTAACTGAAAATAAAGCCTTTGTGAGCCTCATTTCTAGTGTAATTCAGTTACTGTTTAATTTTCTGTTCCATCTGATAACAGCCTTTCAGAATAGGCTATTTTATGTACACTGAGTTAAACTGCTTGAAAATTCTTTTCGTGCACTAACAAGACTATTTTATTATGCTAAAAAAAAAAAAAATCACATTGGAAACATCATCAAATATTTCAACTTAGCATTACACTTTGGCCCAGCATGCTAATGTGTATACTTTTAATATCCACTGGTGAGTCAGTTGAAATCTCCCCAAAATATTCATTAGTGGCACTATTACTGATTAAACTTGTAAATAAAACATGCATATCAACAGGACACACGAGGAAAACAGATGATACGGTTAAAGACAGTATATGACAGGATTAAGGTCTGTCAGCACTGATTTGATAAATTGTTGCTAAACCCTATTTCCATGTAAGATACATTAAGCCTCAAAAATGTCCAAGCAGTAGCGAGAATGATCAAATTCATGCTCAGGAAGACTCCAAGCCATTTCAGCAAAAGGTCTTTTTTAATCCTTTTGAAATCAACAGGATTTCTGCCTCGCTACAAACTGCAGAGCAAGGGCAACAGAACAGGTAGTTTCACTGCATTAAAAAACTTGCTGGTGTTTTTCCCTTCTGTCCCTGTTTTGGTAGCAATCATATCTCCCGATGCATTAAATGCCAGTGCATGCCTCCTGGGGGGGATGTAATGACCAGCACTACCCTGGGAAAGAGAGGGGCCAATGCCCCACAGCTCTCAGGGAACACCTGGAGTTGAACATCCCAGCCCTGGTGTCCTCAGCGTCTTTTCCATATATGTTGCTCCCAGGACTAGCACCTAGCCCTGGTGAGGTTGTTGAGGTTCCCCTGTAGCCAGGAAGTGATGAATGTCTGTTCTTTGTTATCTCTATTTTTTAAAACTCTTAAATTCGATAGAAGAATCCACATCTGTGTTTTGAAATTGGGTCTGTAGTTCCATGCATTACTTTCAGCCTACTTTTAGAACTTAGGCAAAAATATGGCGTTCAGGATAGATCTTACACAAGAAAGAATGTCTTATTTTTATGAATGGGTGTTGGGCATGAACATTTGGGTGTTCTGAAATAATAATGATTTTTGTGCTCTAAAATTCAAATGCAACTTTTTAAGCTGATGTTTTGCAGAGATGAAAAAAGCCCACTGGCATCTGTTGAGAAATGCTGTTTGGAGAAGTTACTGTGTTTATTTGCTTTTGCTTAACAGCACGGCAATCATACATGCTTTACGACTGAGGGATTATTTCAGTACAAATTTAATCATTCTGTAAGCAAAAAAAAGAAGGGGGGGGGCAACAGTCTCTTCTTGTGCTAACAAGCTATTCATATTTAGTATTAGAAAAATAGTTTTAAGAAGGGTAGATAGAACTGTACTGGCTTTAAGTCAAGCAGCTTCAAATGACTTCCTATTACAAGCTTAAACTCTCCCCAAAAGATTATGCTTACGATCAGTTAATGGATGAGTCCCTGACCAGAGACTCACAGCATGCATCTGTTGGCATTGATCAGAGGAGAGCAAAGATGACTTGAAATTGCCAGAAGCAACAGAAGGGGAGACAGGTGTCCCTGCTGTCTGCTCCTAAACTGTGCAAATCTGATGCAAATCTTTAGCTCTGGTAAGTGAAACATGCCAAGACAGGGAAGAGAGCAAAATCATAAAATGCAAGAAAATTTCAATAACTCCTTCCTCATCCTAAGCATGGACCTGGGGAAGGCAATCCCTCTGCAAGTCAGGGAATTATCTTATCAGTGTCCCTGAGACCTGTGAAATTCAGAGGTCAGATTCTTCATCCCTCTCCTTAAAAAGCTTTAGAGTTTTCTGTTGCCCTCTGAAGGGGATTACTGCAAAGGATCAGAAACAGCCATGCGCTGTTCACCTTTTGACAGCATGGTCATAATGAAAAGTTATAACAACATATGGGTTTCTGTGAAAGATATGGGAAAAGCTAGGTGGACTCAATTCTTCTGGTGAAGAGGTGTTTCTGTAATAATAACAAAAAGAAATAAACACAGCTGGTATTAATTGGCAGCAGTAGTAACCCTTATTGCAAACCTCATTAAAGAGGCTGATTTTGTAAATGATGTGGAGTTAGTTACCACCTTGCCTCTAGAAATGATGTCCAGATAAGGTGGAGACGCCCCAGTAGAGCTGTTTTCACTACAGCTGCCCTGAGTGGTTCTGGAGGTGGTTACCGCAGCTCGGCCACAGAAATTACCCGTGTGGCACCTTTCCAAACCGTAAGTAACATAACATTGAGGAAAGGACAGTTGCTTTTTTATTGGTAAGCCTATGAGAAACTGAAAATACCAGAGAGATTTTAGGGTTGCTGAATTTCCAGAGGTAATTCTCATCTCTTCTAAGCACTGGTTCATACTGATCTAATAGTTGGTTACACCCAAAGTCTGCATTCTAAGGAGTTCTAGAGAAGCCCATTCACTTTTCATTTTTAAAAGTTTTCAAAATATGTTTTTAGGATAATGTAGTCTTTGTACTAGTAATTATAGTGCTGTATGTCAAAACCCACTTGCTTACAGCAGTAATATCACAACTTCTCCTGAGAAAAATACTGTTGTATTATCATGTTAGATAGAACTTTATTTTAACGAGATTTAATAAACAAAAGCCAGGATTTGGCTTCAGACTTTTAGATAGATTGAGAACTAGCAGCCAGGTGTTTACAAGCACTCTCACTTAGGATGGATGGCATCACCAGAGTACACAAATCCTTTGGCAAGTGAAAGTAGTAACTTAACCGGATTGCTCAAAATTAATCGTAGCTCACTGCTTTTTTCAAGATATTGCAGGCTTTTTAGTCATGACATTGCATACACAATAAAGAAAGGAGTGGCTCCCATAAGAGAACAAGGCCACCTCAGCAGGTGACAAGCTGTGGACAGACAGGAACACATTTGTATCTGTCTTCAGTGTGTTCACCATTAAATTGCTATCAATTCATATTTGCTGTGATAGCACATAGGTGAAGACGCACGCAAAATGAGCTAGCCTGTATTTAGTGCTCATCTGCAACAAGATTTTTGGAAGAAAATGGTTAGAAACTGTTCAACAGCAACTTTTATTTATACCCCCCCTTTTTTTTTTTAATTGCAATTCCATAGACTGCTGCAGCTGGTCCTAAAAAAACTCACCCTGTCATTGACAGGGTCCTTTCTTTTTTAAAAGTAACCTTCAGTGCCCTGACAAGTGCTTGGCTACACACTATCTCACAAATACGTAAGACCTTATCCTTCAAAAGCTCAGTATACAATTTAGTCACTCAGAGGAGTAAAATCATGTGTATATCTACACAGGTTCTTGAAGATGAAAGCACTACAAAAGAAAAATTACATGTCATCAGCCTTGTTCATCTGCAACTCCCAGTAAGTGAAAAATTGTTAACTTCCACATCATAAAGATGCGATCAAAGATATCACCAAAGTCGTTTATGCCATTGCATATATTTTCAGCTATGTTTTTGGGGGGAGGGGGATGTCTAAGCAATTTGCTGCCTTACACAGATCACCCAGAGCATCTTCACTTTGAGGTAACAACAAAGATTAAGGTTTTTAACTGGAAGAACCTGTAAGAGCAACTTTTGACTGCATGTAGGCAGGAATCAACAGCTTCTAAGTCTGTATCTGCTTTCTTTTTGTTCATACAATTAATGCTTTGGCTCAGCTACAAACAGAAATACAGGTGCACTTTCCATTAAGTTAATGGAAACTATGAAAATACTTTCCAAGGAATTAATTTGGCTACTAAGATATAATATATCACATTCCAATTAAATCTACAGTAAAGGATGGTAATTTCATAATGACTAGGCTGCAATTTCACTGTAGGGCCCCCATAGCAGAGTAGAAGCTGAAAACTTTTGTTGAATACTCTATATTTTAAACTAATAAAGAAGGCGGAAAACATGAGAAATGTTTACTTTTATGCTATCTATATCTGAATCTTATTTATGAGAGAAGTCTTACTGGAGTGGTCCTGATCCTGTTCTCGAGAGAATGGAAGATGGAGAGCAATGGTACCGAAGTCAGCAGAGTCACATCGATGTAACCCTGAGCTGAGGTCACAAAGATGACAAAAAAAGGCCTCGGTCTGACTGGTGTAACACCAGGACTGAGCCTTAGACCCCCATGCCCTGGTTGCTGCAGCTGTTCCACAACGTTAGTGTCTTTATACACGTTTCGTCAAAAGGAAATGTAAACATCTGCTACGTTCATATCCTGGGGCACTGTGCGATGCATCTGCAGGAGCTTAATGCTCAGGCTGATCATCTCCGGTGCCTCTATACAGAGGAGCCGAGCGGCAGAGGAATAGGGTCCGGCTGCCGCCCCATGCGAGGTGTTCCCAGATCAGCTCCCTAACACGGGGTGTTCTCCTGTGTGAACGCACGCAGCGCGCTCTTCCCCAAATAAAAGAGAAGGGAGCTGCTTTCTTTCAGGCTTTATTTTCCTTTTTTTTTTAATTTGTTTCTCCCCCTTGTGAGCCTCCCTAGGTGGGTGAGGAGCCCCCCGTGCCTCCAGAGGGGCACGGCAGTGCTGAGACAAGAGGAGCCGGCGCCTTTAGAGGAGCGAGAGCCGCGTCCCGATCGCTCCGGCTCCGCTCCGGTTCCGCTCCGGCTCCTCCGAGCCCCCCTGTTCTCCTTCCCCGGGCTGATTTCGGGGTTCAGGGGGTGCGGGCGGGGAAGCGGCGCGGCCCCGACCCCCCGACACCTGCAGAGAGCATCGCGACGAGCGGCGGGACACAGCGGACGGGACACACTGGGAGGGGGCGGACAGCGGGAAAATAAAGGATCCTCCTACCCTGAGGGCTCCCTCACTGACTCTGCTGTGTACCTGCTCTGCTCCTCCACGCTGCGGTTCTCCGGCGCCCGCCACTCGGGCAGGGTGCTGGCGCACAGCACCACCATGGACACGATGACGAAGAGGATGGAGACGGTGGCCAGGACCTGGGCGGCCAGGGAAGACGTGGGCTCCTCGAAAGTCCTCCGCATCCTCTCCAGCCACTTGCCGCCCTCGCCCCCCGCCGCCCGCCGCCCCTTGGCCCGGGGGTCGCCGCCCGCGTCCCCCGCCGGCTCCTCGGGGCAGTAATAGGGCCGCGACTCGGCCAGGCGGTCGTCGAGGCGGCGCTGGCAGCAGTAGTCGAGGTGGGAGCCCTCCAGCCCCCAGTAGAGCAGCTCGTTGTAGAAGGAGAGCTCGCACATGTGCGGCACGAAGCGCAGGTGGCCGTGCCGCACGTAGAGCATGATGAAGCCGAAAGCCTCCGAGTGCCGGTCGAAGAAATACTCGTTCCGCTCCCGGTCGTAGTCGTCGCACACCTCCAGCACGTCCTGCTCCGACAGGCAGCCGTGCAGGCGGCTCACCCGCCGCAGCGGGAAATCCTTCAGCACCTCCCGGGAGAAGGAGTACCGGGTGCCCCCGACGTTCAACACCACCGGGGGGCCGCGGCCAAAGTTCATGGCTTGGGCGGGACGGAGGAGGAGGAGGAAGAGGAGGAGGAGGAGGAGGAGGAAGAGGGGCAGGGGCCGGGCCGGGCCGGGCCGGGAGAGGCGGGGGGCGGCAGCGGCTGCCCCGGCTCCGGCTCCGCTCGCACCGCTGGCGGCTCCCGCTCGGCGACGGGGCGGGCGGGGAGGGAACGAGGGAGGGATGGAGGGAAGGAGGGAGGGATGGAGGGATGGATGGAGGGAGGGAGGAGAGCCGGGGGGCGGGAGAGGCGCCGCCGGTACCGGGGAAGGGATGGAGGCGGCTCTCCCCCCCGCGGGTCTCCCCGGCGAAGTTGGCCGCCGGCGGTGCCCGGGCAGGGGGCTGCGGAGCGGCGCTGCCGCCTCCCCCGAAGGGCTGTCCCCGGCCGGGGACCCGCGCACATCTGGAGGAGGAGGAGGAGGAGGAGGAGAGGGGGAGGAAGAAGAGGAGGCGGCGCTCCTCCTCCTCCTCCCGTGCCGCGCGGGCAGAGTGGCGAGGCGCAGCGGGCGCCCCCTGCCCCGCTCCGGCCCCCCGCCGGCTTCCCGACGCCCCGCCGCGGCTCACATCGGGCACCAGCTGGTGCCACCCGGGCCGCCCTCCAGGGCTTGGATTTCAGGGGTCTGCAGCACGCACAGGGAGCTCCTCGCTTCCACCCCTCTCGCCTCTCTCCCTCTCTGGTACCCTAACACTCCGGCTCTCGGGGCTGAGCCTTTTTCCGTGCTCGCCGCCACCTGGAGCATCTCCCGGAGCTCTCCCCTCGGGGCGATGCCTCCAGGTGCCGGCGTGCTGCCAGGACAGAGGGCAGGTGAGTGCCTCTTCTCCCCGCTGATCCCAGAGGTTTTACGGCCCAGGGGCTCCGCCTGTAGCAGGACACCCAGCTTAGGGCAGTGCTCCGCCACCCCCGCCCTTTCCTGCTCCAGATTCAGGGGTTTCTCTTGGCAGCCTTTGCTGCTGCTGCCATGTTACTCCCCCAGCTGAGGTTTGCAGGATGCCTTGCAAGACGTGGATGGCCGTGTGATCCTGTAGAGCCGCTTGTTTTAAAGGAGAATGCGATTAAGCACTATTATCTTATCGCCGTTTGGCCTCTGTCTGTAAAACACTTGGAGAGAGGTGGGGATAAATGCCCACGGTGCCTCCAAAAGGGCTTCCGGCAGCGCCCCTCGCACGGCGCGGCGAGCGGCCGCTAGAGGTCACAGTCAGTCGGTGTTCTCGCTTAGCTGACCGAGAAGAAAGGAAAACCACCCAAACTCGGGCTGCAGGATGTAGTAAAGTATACACGTCAGTGTGCTGCTCCCCAGTAAGGGCATCTTTATCTCCTTTTAGTCATTCTGATTCTGGTGCTTTTTTATTTTTATTTTTTTTTTTCCCCATATAGCTGGAAAGATTCTTGCTTCCAGCAGCTGCAGCTCTTTCATGTGTCTTGCCTGCTGGTTATTTTTATAAGCAACAAACACTCTTCTAAACTGCTTCACCTCTCTTTGGGTATGCTTCTGCCTTTCATTCTTCCAGAAACAGTTACTGGAGTACCTGGTTTAAAAAAAAAAAAAAAAAAAAAAGTAGCAAAAACTGACTAGGGCTGTCAGCAATAATGAGTTACCCAGGTGCTTCTGGCTTTGCAATTTGTCATGCTTGCTGCTCCACATGTTTTAACCCCCTTCATCCTTTGTAGCAAGTTGGCAGAAGAGAGGACAGTCCAAACTACTGGGTCTGAGGATGGACGAGCTGCATGAAAGTGTGTTGGAGTGTGCTTTCTGGAAATCGTTTCGAGTCAGACAAAGCTTCCTGTGCCGTGAAGCTGTGTGGCAGAGCAGGTAAAGTGCCAGGCATGCTACAGTCAGACTTTATCTTGCAAGTGACCCAGTGGATAAAGCATTATAGGTTGGTCTGATGCACAGTTTCTATCTGAGTCTTTCTTTTAAATACGGACTACAATGATTTCCTTCTTTGGAATAACAGCAGTAAGCAAAGCTAACCTGACAACAGCTGTGCCAGTTGCTGGATTTTACCCCTCTGTAGTCTAGCATGTTGCAGTTTACTTATTTTAGTTATAATTACTGACTTTCAGTCGAGGAGATTTGTTCTAGCTAGCTGGTGTCAATAGCTGTAAGCAATGTGTTCTCACGCCAGGAGCAGTAATTTACCAGGAGCAAAAATTCAGATTTTAGACAGGATTTGTAATTTTCTTGCAAGTGTTCTGATCTGTGGCCTTTTCAGACTGGTCATGCTGCTGTCATTATGAAATAGCAGTTTTATTGCTAAATGTGTGGAAGTTCCAATGGCTTCGTAGGACTTGCTCAGGAGTTACGAGTGTCAGTTCAGTAGCTGACTTGTTACAGCTGTCTTATTCTTCAGGAAATTTCAGTGAGCATAATAACTTTCTTTTGTTACTGAATTTTATGAGTCAAGAAACTTGAAAAATAGGATGAAGATCCCAAAAGAGACAGAGCACTTAAAACAACTTTGTGTGACCGTAAAGAGAAACATTTAGCAATATAAGAAGGAAGAAGTATTTTAAAGGCCATGCATGGGAAAGGAGGGAAGTGTTTGAAAGTTCCAGTTGCCCTGTTTTTAAAGATTGAACCAAATTAATAATAATAAAAGTGAGCCAATAAATCCATGTAAATAGGTCAGCACAGAAATTAGTATTCAGCCTCAAGGTTAAATGGTAAAGTACAAGGCTTCAAGCAAAACTTCAGAGGGACTGAGCTGGCTGCTAATCTGAAATATAGCAAAGACCTCTTTCAAGCAGTTAGCTGAGTTCAGCTGTTGAGGTATTTGGGGGTTGTCTTTTGTGTGTGTGGCTTTGTTGTTGTTGTTAAATGCTCTGGAAATACACACTGGGATGTTGAATCAAAGTAATTACCCTTCTCCTGGTGTTACAGTTGTATCATTTACTGCCCAGGAGGAACTTCACAATTAATAGTCATTATGTAAAAATAGCTTTCTGTATGTCAACATTTATTTTCATGGCTTGTATTGTGCTATTGCATCCTAAGGGTATTTAATGAACTTGAAATATTTTCTACAGTTTCCAAATCTTTCTGGCCTCGTGCTGAGACCATTGTTCTGTGTTTCAAGTGCAGCACTGTGATTGCTTTTTTTTTTTAAAAAAAAAAAAGAGGTCATTTGCTTCTATCTTTTATGTGAACAAGCTGGCATATTTTGTTGGCGAGCTTTTTTCATAACTCCAGATCAGATCCAGTTCCTGCTGAGGTAGCTACTGAGCGATCTTGACTTGAGAGCAGGCAAAACTGGCTTTTGGTGGAGTGTCCTCTGTCAGGATCCGTGTTTGTTTTTAGCACAGCAGCACCTAGGGGCTCCAGCTGCGGAGCAGGATGCCTGAATGACATACTTGCAGACACGGAACAAAAGGTTTTTGTGGTCAGGGAGCACACAGTACCTAACATATAAAATTGTTGGGGGGGGTGGGGGGGAGGAGGATGGGATGGGAGGGAACAATATATTTGGCAATATTTATCTTAATTACTTGAAGAGGCAATGAATAAAGAATAGAAGAAATGCTTCAGAAGGTTCAGCGTGCATGGATGCACTAGTGTTTGCAATTGTCTTCAGTTTAGATCGGGGGGAATGGTTTCCACTAGATGTTTTTGCTGCTATCTAACTTCTCTGCACCAGAGCCCCCCACTGCTTCAATGTGGTTTGTGGGCTACGTAGGAAACCTCTCAGGAGAGGGGCCTATCGCCATGTATAATTGCAAAACAAAATCTAATGACAGATGCAGTTTGGATCGTCAGTGGCACCTGACACGAGAGTACAAGTTCCCTTGTCACTGAGGCACTTATAAAGATCTGAATAATTTTGAATATGAATGTTGCTAAAAGTGGCTGAATGACATTTAGTAGGGAGCTGGGTATTCACATAGATATACATGTGCACGGAATACAATCTGCAGTTGACATTTAGAATTAGACTAAGTTATTTCATGAAACATGCTAAGAGTTCGGGAAATTTGGCTGTGAGCAATTAGCTTTGATACTGGGGACTCAATGCATTTGTGGGTCAGACAGCGAGCTTTTTCAGTGAGACACACAGCTGCCTTCCCTGTTGTCTGCCACCTCCACGTTGAGAGAAAACCCAGCAAAGATTCTTGGACCTGATGCTGGGCTAATTACTGAAGGTTATTAAATTTCAGTGATCACTGGGTCAAAGGAAGCCCTCTTGGTCAGAGACTGCTGCTAGCTGGGTTCAACCAGTTTGTTACATCTGAACTCCAGGCAGCAAGACGCAAAGCATGAGGAGAAGGACGTTGCTTGCCTGAGGAAGGCAATTAGAAGGAGACTTGCTAATGGGGAATTCAAAGGCATGAACATATTTTCACAGGAGAGAAGAACACAGGAATAGATTTTCACACCAGTGAGATACTTTACTAAATGCTTACCAAGGGGAAGAGAAACTGTCTGCAGAGAAGATGGAGAGAAATACTGGGATTTGGGGAAGCCGTATGTGCAGGTGAATCCAAAATATTCTCTGAGAACAGGAAGACACTGGGCCATATGAATGCACATAAATTTTATTTTGTCATGATCTTAACATTTTTGGCATTAGCTAATGTAAAGGGTTATGTGCTTTTTTTTTTTTTTCCCTCCCCATCCTCAGCAAAGATTATGGAGTTCAGTTCAATGTGTGCAGTTAATATGTGTGTTAGTGTCACTTGAGATGAATGAGGAAACTTGAGGGCATTGTATGCACTACTGGGGCCTTCAGCATCCTGTCCACCTGCCCTTGCAGATGACCTGGATGCCACAGAGGTAACACCTCACGCCTGTATTCAGGTTACCAAGTTGAGCCCCTGTTGTGCCTCATGGAAGAGCAAGACTGGAAGTGTAGAAGCTGTGTTGGCTGAGACTTGGTGTGGATGCATGTCTGAGTGACGAGTGGGTCACCCATGGCCTTTGGGAAGGGAATTGAGGCAGCTGGGACTCTGAATCCCCTCACTGGGGAGGAGACAGAGAGCTCCACAGAGCCAGCAAAGGCTGCATGTGTACCCCTGCCCACTCATTTAGAGGTGGTGATGAGCACAGAGGTCTAATTAAAATGAGACTTGGCCACAGTGAGATAGAGTCCTGCAAGTAGGGTTCTACAGGATTTGTGAAAAAATATTCCAAGGAGAAGCTCCTGGAAATACTGGTTAGCATTTTTTGCTCCTTAGTGAGAGATAGGGTACTTCTCTATTTCATCTACATCCTTGGGGGAAGGAGAGGAGACTTAGAAACTCTTGTCTTGCTATTACACTGCTCCAAATTTTACACTTCAATGGAAATAAAGTTAAAAAAGGTGTTTCTGAAAAATTTCACTTGCTTCTTGACAAACAGGAGAAATCCTACCTCCTGAAATACTGCTCTCCACAAATACCGAGTGACTGTTCAATTGTACTAAACTACAGTAAATGATGCAAAAATTCAGTCTTATTTTCACTTGAGGATACAAAATTAAATTGTTTTGATCTCTTACATTCAGATTTTTACCTTTAAAATGAATTATTCATCTCTTTGTCTAGTCCTACATGTTCTTCTAGAAGTCCCAGGAAGTCTTTCTGTTGACTACACTGGTTTATAAAAAAAGATCAAACTTGCTTGCACAGAGAAATGTTTGTGTAACTATTTCAAACTTAAAGATGATGTTTAGGTTACTAAAATACTTAAACTGAAGTCAATACCTATCCAGTTAAAGTTAGTAAAGCAGTAATGTCTTTGTTCTGTTCAAACAAATCCACTGCTTCTCAGTGAAAATGAGGTCCGACCTCTTTGTAAAATTTCTCTTTTCCTGAGTCTGTCACAGCAGCACTGGAGAACTTGGTGTGTCCATATCCCTCCTCTGGACATTGGCAGCCCTGACTCTGCAGTCCAATGAGGTGTTAAAGCCTTTGCATTATAAGGGCTTCATGAACAACTGGAGCATAGCTTCATTACACTCCAGCCCAACTTTACCCCTTAGGATGTTAAATGGAAGTTTGTCTCTCGTTGCTGTGCAGATATAAACTAAAGATCCCTCGGTTACTTTCTGTAACTTATCTGACTTACCCGCAATGTATTGGAGAGTACTCTTGCTTCTGGCAAAGAGGTTGTATTATCCTAGGCTGCATGTGAACAGCTGCACACAGGCCTGCCCAGGCTCCTACACAAGCACTCTCAAAACCTAAGCAAGCTGCATCAATGTTCCCCAAGTTCACTGCTGCACTGCTGGTGGGAGTTGGCATCCACCTCCTGGAGCAGTAACTTCTCACCCTGTACATCAAGTGACTACTTCCTAAATCACATGGGAGACTAGACTACGCCCTGGAATGGAAAGTAAAAGTGATCGTACCATTATCTATGTTGCACAGCCAGAAACGTTGCTTGCAGCTAGAATGAGTCGCAGTCTCGTTTGATGAAGGTAGGACATTCCTCGTGATGCTGTGTTCATGTGTGACTTCCAGATGATGTTTGGGATCAGGTACGGATGCTTGCAGCAAAGCCCACCAGAACTATATAGTAGATTGCTAACTCTCTGCTGTCTAAAAGGTGATCAAAACATCTGAGGAGTTCATGAAATTAAACCAACTACATGAGAAAAATTTTTTTTCATTTTGCACTATAGAGATACTTGTTTCTGTGTGGTTATTATGCTATATTCTCCTCCGATATAAGCTACCATAGCTTCATTTTGTGCAGTTACTGATTTCAGGTGTTTGCTTTTTTTTTTTTTTTTTTTTTTTAACACATTTTTGCCTATTACACCATTTCTGTGCTAGCAACTGCATGCTGACCTTCCCCTCATTTTAAACCAAGTCACATTTCCCGATTCCCTCCTTGGGAAGCTGCAACATATTTGTTAATTGCTCTTTCCCCACCAATGCAGAAGGGGAAGGTGGACTCCCTGTGTTTCACTTCCCTTGGGGAGGGAAGGGAAGGACTAGGATGAGAGGTTTGCCAGCATTATTCCTCTATTACTCAGGCTGAACTCCTAATGAAATTGCAGCTGGATGAGATGCAATCCTTCACCACCGCGGTGTGTGTTAGTGCTGCCCATGGACTTTTTGGAGCTCGGTAGCGGCTGTGTCATGCTGAAATGCAAACTGCAGGTGGGCCACCCCTGCTGCTGTAATGGCCAATACCTCTCCAACTCGCTTACCAATATACCTGCAGCATGGAAAGCTGATCAACCAGCATTAGCAATTTACACATCTCCTAATTTCTTGGCTTCCTGCTGGGATAAACCGTGGAGCCTAGCGGCTGAGGTTGCAGTGACTTGGCTGCAACTTTGCTGTCAGCTTAGGACTGACTCCAGCCTGGATGCAGCAGATAAACAAAATTTCACAGTCTTGATAACAAAACAAATCTTGCCTGGCTAAGAAATAATGGCTAAGAAGCAAATTATTACTGTAGTCTGTGGAGCTGTGCAAATTTACTCTGATAAAGATCTTTGGTAAATTTTCAAAATGACTGAAATGTTAGTTTCAAGGTGGGTTTATAGATGTGCCTTTCAACTGCAAGAGCTGGAATAAAACAGAGCACTCATTTCAGATTCTAAATCATGTCTTCCATGGCAGTGTGTGTTTGGTGTGATTTATTTTTTTTTCTTTTTCAGGGGGTGTGGGGTGGTGTGGGATAGGGATGAGTGTGATAATGATTGCAAAAACAGGGCAGAAGACATCAATAATCTTGAAACTAGTAGAAGAAAATTGTACGTGTCTTTTTAGAAAAGCTCAACATCATTTAATGAGGCATACTGTGGTGTTGTTGCACTTCAATGAGTACGATATTCCCATGGTCCTAAATGGTGGGGAACTGCAGGAACAACCATGGAAGCTCCTACCCTTAGCAGAACCTCTGCCCAGACACTGCAGCATTCTTCTGGTATGTCACAGAAACTGGAGAAGCTTCTTTCTTTCTGTTTGGGGATTTGGGGCTTAAAAAATTATTATTTTCTGTTGTGGTGTCATGCTTATTAAAACCACAATGCATGGCCTTAACAACATACTGCTTCCTTAATTTTCTGAAAAGTATTGTTATCAGATGATCAATACATTTTTTTTTTCTCCAGCAGGTTTACATGTGACTCTTCTTTCTTCTTTCTTTTTTAGAAATTTCATCTGTTTAAACATTTGTGCTGCCAAACAGGCTTCAAACTGGGAACACACATCTCACGTTTGCAGTGCCTTGTTTGTTTGATTTCTTTCCTGCTATAGTTACATCTTTAATTCTGAGATCTGTTGTTAATTCACTAATTTACATTGCTGGTTTTCTGCCTTCCACCTAACTTTTTTTCTTTTTTTTTTTTTTTTTTTTTTGTAACTTATCTATTAAAAAGTATTTCTTATTCAAAAAAATAATAAGAATGGGGAAGGAACAGTTTATTTTCTTTATTGTTTTTTCTTTTCCTTTTTTCCTTCCTTTTCAAGTAAGAAGCACCAACCAAAACATAGGATTGGAATCCTGTGCTGCTGTTTTCCAGAAGCCCAGGACCGTGAGGATTTCTCTGCTCAGCCTGCAGAGTGCTCTGAGAAGCGGTGCCTTCACCAGCTGTCCCTGGGGAGAGCGCTCTCTTTCCAAAGCCACGTACAGTTGCCATGGCTGGGTCCCAGCAGTAACTAGGGATCTGCCACAGCCTGGTGCTCTTTCTTATTATTTCCACAGATTAGCTGGAGAATATCCCTTACAATCTTCTTGTCTATTAAGTTCACTATTCCAGTGACTTAACATAATGTGGAAAATACTCAGCACTGACAAACATGTAATCAGATTGTCTACTTGTGCTGTTGATTTTTTTTTTAATTATTATTTACAGTCTCTTGCACTTTGTTCCCCAAAGGAGCAATCCTTAAAGTCAACGAGGAAGATAAGCTGGTGGAGCTGCGATTCCTAACGCTGAGCTTCTTGCCAAGTTTGTGGGATGTGGTCCAGCATCCCCTTCCTGAGCCTTGGGGAGATCTGGCAGTCCTGCTACTGCCCTGTCCTGTCTGGGTGCAGAGCAGGCAGACGTGGCCTTCCCTCCATGCAGTTGTGCTCTAAAGGTTCAGCCCAACACAGGATGGTGTAATCACACACCCATGTTCCTGTGCCTTCCCCAGGACTGGGATTCATGTGGATTAACTTGATGGCATCAGTAGAGTTATTCTGGTACGACTGAGGGCTAATCACAGCCCAGTATTTGTGAGTCTCTATAGACAAATAAAATAATACATTTTCATTGCTAATAGTGATGGTCTGTCTAGTAGTCCAATATTCAATGTATTTAAGTATTTTTTTATTGTGCAGTAACAAATTCCATTCAAAGGAATGTGCATTGTAAAAAATGTGACCACTTAGGTCAACCAGCTCAAGAGACTGCTATTTTGAGTAACAGAACAATTAGTTCTCATAGACAAGTTGCTTGGTACAGTTGTTTGCAGGCATTTGATTCTTTGTGTACTTTGTTAACACAAAAGCAATCCTGTCTGTTTCCTACAACCAGAGAAATAATTCTGTAGCAAAAAAGAAAATAGTGCAGGATGAATTTCAGCCTAGCATGAACTTTCCATGCCAGGTTATAAACCTTGGAATAGAGGCTGCTAATGGAAATAGCGATGGAGAAAATTTTAGAGTTTTGAATGGTGATGTGATGGGTTCTCTGTGCCCAGAAGTCTTGCACTGAGAGGGGATTGCAAGACTGGTGTGCCTGAAATAGCAACACTACCTTTTGCTGTTCAGAACAGCAGACTTCAACAGAAAGTGAATACTTAGATTTAATACTCAATTCCAGGAAGATCATGAAAAAGTCTAGTTACTTCTGTCCTCTTTGGTAGGGAAATAATTTTTACAGTGTGATAGGTTTCCCAGTATTTTTAGGAAACAGCTCAAAGCTGAACAATGAAGTTCTTGAACTGTGCATTACCTTCGGAAATGTATCTGAATTTGCTACGAAATGATAGAGTAGGAAATACTGTTTTCATTCCTTGTGCTACTTCACTGTAGAAACCTGCAGGTGAATAGGGAAGCTGTTCAGCAGCACAGTTTGTTCCATTAAAAAAAAAAAAAAAAAAAGAGAGACTTAAACTGTAAGTTGATACATTTTTCTTTTTGCATTTGGGTGTATGAGGGAAAATGGCAGATACAAAGCCTTTCAAAAATGTCTGGTCACCTTTAAATCACAACTGCTATTGAGCAGAGCTTCTCTTAAAGTTTCAGTGGTAGAAATTACATAAACTTAACGTATTCTGTGCTTTACAGGTTTTATTAAGCTTGCTAAAGAGTTGTGGTGAAATCTCATATTTAGTAGTGTAAACTCCGTGGCATCCGGATGCCATCCTATGGGAGGCAACACTACACCCCTGCACAAACACCTTCTCCTGCTTCCCCCATCATAAGAGATCATGATGCTATATTCAGTCATTTGTTATTTTCTTTTCTAAACAGAAAAGGTTGATAGCCAAACACACGACTTGTGTTCAGCATAAAATATTCATCAAACAATCATAAATAACCTTTCCCCATCACGAAATGTAGGGAAACCACCAAAAGAGAACTCAATCAAAACATGCAATCTTCTTAAAATATTCATTAAAAATGTCATATTCTGAAAGGCTTGACAGCCACTATGGCTAGGATATTTTTATTGAAATTTCCCCCTCCCTGTTGTGGTATAGTATTTTGAACTATTTTCATGGAGAACACTGTAGAGAACTGCTGTTATGAATAATTATTACAAGAAAACCTCTACAGTACTCTGCAGCCCTGCAAAGTTGGAGGCCTTCTACCTGCATTTCCTATTATGCATCTTCAATGGACATTCATGAAAGCAGATGGTGTTCAGCACCTGGTAGAACTGAGACCTACTGGGATGGTTTTGGGTGCTGACCATGGCTTATTCACAGACCCAGCCAGTCCTCAAAGGGACGTAAGTCTTCATTTGGGAAGACGACCAGAACTCCTGGAAGCAGATCTGAGCAATGTGCATGAGCAGGCCTCTTCTGTCTCAGACTATACGTGATTTAGCAGCATGAGCTGTGTTTGTCTTCTCTCTGATGTCTTCTGGGTATTTTGTGTACACAGATGTTTGTACTTTGACCTCACTGCTAAGCTGGTACTCAGATGAAATTCAGGAATTGGCTTCAGTTAAAATAGTCATGAAAAACTTATTGCTTTGGTGCTTTTGCTTATTTTTTTTTTATTATTATTATTTTATTTGTGTGTGTGTATGTTTTGTTGTTTTCTTCTCTCCATCGGTGTTAATATGTATTAGTTTTAATACTTTTACAGATTCCTCAATGAAATATAGCTGTGTCAGTATAAAAGGGGGTTATTCCAGTGTAGCTTATTCTTGAATTTACAAGCACGAGAAAGCCAATGCACCATAATGCGTGTGAACTAAAAGCTCCTTCTTTCTTTCTGTTGTGTGTTTGTTGGTTTGTTTGTTTTGTTTGCTTGTTTTTAAGAACTTCTGAGTTCTGTCCCAGCATGGCACTGGCAGCATGGAGTGTTTTCAGAGCTCCATTGCAGAGATACTGGATCAAGGAATCTAGGTTATTTCAAAGAGCATTATATAAAAGATACTTCTTTGGTCGTATTCTTCCAGAAGAGCAAGAATTTGTGATTTCCCCGAGCAATTCTCTTCATTGCAAATTCCCTGTTTGAGAGTAGTTGGCTGGATAACTTTGAGGAAGACAGAGGAATGGAAACATTCAATTTTGGCTCTGTGTGTATGTTAGTCTCAGCTATATGCTGTATTTTTATGTCCCAGTGGAGCTTCGTAAGGAGAAAAAGACTTATGTACCTTATGTACCTTTTTTTTTTTTTTTTTTTTTTTTTAATTTGAACTATAAATTATAAGAGCAACTTGTTTTTAAGCACATAAAATATTCCTTTCTCTTCTGGACAATATTGTAGAATATTAAAACTCAGATATTTGCAGGCTGTTAATCTTGGGTATCTAGATTTTATGGATTTCCATTCCTAGCAGTAACTGTAACCCAAACTGTGGAGCTTGAAGAGCAGTTAGAAGCTCATCTGATAAATGAACCCAAAGTTTAGAGAGCGGAAAATCTTCAGTTCGCCAGGGAGAAGAATAAAACTTGATGTATTGAACATGGGCACGGTAGAGCTATCAGGAAGTAGTATTGGCATCTGTCTTCGATAAAGAGAAAGGAGACTTAACCGTGATAGTTGGGGGGATTTTTACTGGATGGGGATGCTTCAGAGGGAGGGCACCTGTTCAGTTATTCTGTTTGTGCCTATTTGGCACAAATCTGACTCTTCTTGTGCCTGCATGGAGCAAGCAGGGAACCATTACTGCAGAACTTGCAGGATGCGTGAGTTGGTATCACATCCAAATTACACTCCTCATTATACTCCCGTTTATGAAATATGTAAGATCTCCTGGAACAGGGTTTTCAAACTGTTTGTTTCTTCTTGCCAGGCATAACACATAGCTGATTTAAAACAAATAAACAGAAAAAGCCTGCCAGCTTTGCAGCTAGAGAGCCTCTCGTAGACAATCCTTCTGCAATATTTCGTGTCATCAACTCATGCCTGGTGTGGTGACCCGAGCCATCTGCAGCTATCTGGCGACCTAAGGGGGCGTTACGTGATCTTTCCTCTGATCCTGAGAGAATGAATGCTGCATGTTTCACTGACTTCAGCCAGGTATGTGGTTGTCTCCAGATGAAAGACCCAGCTTCTCCTAAAAGCGACCACTGATGCTTTCCAAAATAACAGCATTGCTGCAGTGCTCGGGAGCACTGCTCTCCTCCTTGTCAGAGTGCACATTGATTGCAGAAGCAAGTCAGGGAGTCAGCAGTCTGCTAATCAGGCGGGCAAACTGACCTCCTCTGTGGCACTGCCTATTTTTAGAAACAAAGGTCACTTGAAAACAAAGTGAAATTTGCTACGTATAAGCAGGCATGATTCCACTGATTGAGGAGGAAGGTGTGCACCAGTGATAAATGTGTCCCTGAAATCCACCCAACCATCTCTTATACCAACAGAGCAGTGAGCAATTGTCAGGTCACTATGCTGACCTGCATGAAGAAATTATTCTGATTTTTCAAAGCTAAAAATAAAAGCAGTACTGAGAATTTTAGGTCAAACCCTTCCATAATGGAAACACAAGGCAGTGGTTAGAGGCATGGTAAGGCACGACGAGGCCTTCTGTACCCTTGATCAATAAGTTGCACTTGGGTGTTACTTGCCTGTAATCACTGGATCCCCAGAAAAACTGAGCTGAACAGATGCCGAGGCCTTGACTTAAATTAATTCTGCTCAGATGAATGTACTGTACTCTACTTAAATCTGTGTCATTAAGCACCTTTGACAGCTTTTTAGCAGGTGTTTAGCACAAAAAATAGATCAATTGAGGGAAGGGGAGAGAGGAAGAGTAAATCCAGTGTGGTGTGTTTAATCTCTATCTAGTGTAATTATGGTTAAGGCCAAAATGGCTTAATTTAGGAGTGCTGCAGATGAATGCATCCAACGTGCTTCCAGCTGCTCTGATTATCAGCTTCTCTTACATCAAAAATAAGGTACACATTAGTCTCATCTTAGTTCTAATGAAGTCAACCACAAAACTCACATTGAATTTACAAGGGGCAAGATGTGAACCTATGTATTCTAGCAAACAAAATGGGTTACAAGACTGAATCCTAGAGCTCTAGGCTTTTTCTCCATTAGGATGTGAACTGCAAAATACATTGGCAGGTGTAATAAAAGCTCTGGGTGAACATATATATATATATATATATATATATATATATACATACTTTTTTTTTTTCTCTGATTAGTAAATAAGATCTTTACTCTGTTACTGAGTTAATTAGCAAAACTGTGAGAGTTATGCTTGTGGAGTGAAAGAAGTGCATTTTTTCAACATATAGTCTTTAATAGTAGTTTCTTACAGATAAACAATAAAGCCTACTTTACAGTCCTTCCCTCAAAATGGTAGCAATATTTCCTTTTGTGATAGAATGGTTTTCATTAAAGCACATGCAGTCAGAACAAGAAGGCAGATACATACCAGTCCAGGTCTGATTTATTTTGCAGAAAATGTCCTTAATTCAATTGTATGATTTATGGGAAATAAAATTATATATTGGTTCAAAGCAATGCCATATGGTAGGCTATAGCATCCATCCACATAATTGTATGATACTTATTGAAAAACCATTACCAGATATCTCTTTTTCAATACCCACTCAAAAATATCTTGTTGCCAACATAAGCACTG